TTGATGGGGAATGTTCTTCTGTGTATGTTTGTCTTATTGGTTGATGAATAAAACACTGATTGGCCAGGCAGGATGCTAGGTAGGACTGGGAGAGAAGGAGGATTATGGGAAGTATAGGCAGAGAGGAGTTGTCATGTGATCCCAGGAAGTGACATAGCTGGGCAGAAATTGCCCCTGGCTAACCATAGAGGTCTGTACAGACAGGCAGGAAGTGACATACATAGCTGGGCAGAATCAGTATATAAGCAGGGACAAACAGGAAATTGCACACTTCTCTCTTCTCTGCAGAGATGTAGCAGGCAAACGAATTGCAGGTCCAGCATTCCCGGTAAGCCAAGACCACATGGAAATACTTAGATTGATAGAAATGAGTTAATAATTAAGTCAGAGCTAGGCAATAAGAAACCATAGCCAATAGCCAATAGTTTCAAATAAAGCATCTGTGTTCTCCTTTGGTGCAGAGAAGGGCAGCGGGACCTAGCTGGGCCAATAAAACTCAAGTTACAGCCAATTAAGATTGAGAATTTTCTGTTTTGATCTGTATACCTATTTTTTTCATTGAATTAGATTTCAATATCTAATTTCTTGGGTTCACTATATATTTTGGATATTAGTCCTCTTTCAGTGGTGGAGTTGGTAAACATCTTTTCCCATTCTGTTGTCCAATTGATGCTGTCCTCTGCCTTCTAGCTTTTCATTTCAAGAGGTCCCACTAATTATTTATTGATTTTAGTGCCTATGTTTTCAGTGTCCTATTCAGAATGTTGTCTCCTCCGCCAATAATTTTAAGGCTATTATACAATTTCTCTTTTATCAAGTGTATCTGGTTTGTGTTGAGGTCGTTGATCCATTTGGACTTGATTTTTTAGCAGTGTGATGAATATGGATCTTGCATTCTTCAACATGCAGATATTCATTCTCCATTTTAAGCATCACTATTTGATGAAGATGCTATCATTTTTAAAGCGTGTATTAATGGCTTCTTTATCAAAAATTTGGTGTGATTATGTGTTTAGGTTTCTCTCTGGGTCTTTAATTAAATTCCATTGATCAATGTGTCTGTTTCTATGCCAATAACATGCAATTCTTGTTACCATAGCACTGTAGTAGAACTTAAAATTGGGGATGGTGATACCTACAAAACTTATTTTCTTGTCGAGGATTGTTTTGGTGTTCCTGGTTTTTTTTACATACAAAGAAGAAAATCATCCTTTCAAGACATGTATAGAATTGTTTTAAAATTTTGATGGTGACTACAATGACTACATAGAGTGACTGCTTTTGATATGATGGCCATTTCTAATATGTAAATCCTACTGATCCATGAGCATGGAAGATCTTTCCATCTTACAATATCTTCTTTAATTTCTTTCCTTAAAGACTTGTTTTATCATAGAAATCTCTCACTTTCTGGGTTGTAGTTACCCAGTGATATTTTATATTATTTGAGGCTATGATGAAGTTGTTGTTTCTTGATTTCTTTCTCAGTCCATGTCTGAGGAGAGCTACTGATTTTCTTTTTTACTTCACTTGTATCCAGTCGCTTTAACGAACATGTTTATCAGCTGTAGCATTTCTGATGGAATGTTTAGGGTTTTTTATTTTACTATCATATCATTTAAAAAAAGAATACTTGGATTTCTTCCTTATCGATTTTTTCCTCTAGATTTTTTATTTAAATGAGATGCAATCTTATTTTACATAACAATCCAGGTTCCCTCTCATTCCTATCCACCCATGCTCCCCACCAACACCTCATCCCATTCCTCTTCTACTCTCCAAGGAGGGTGAGGTCTTCCAATGGGATCATCAAAGTCTGTCACATCATTTGGGGCAGATCCCAGGCTCGCCCCCATGTGTCCAGGTTGAGAGAATAGCCCTATGTAGTGAATGGGCTCAAAAACTAGAGACAAATTCTGTTCCACTACCAGAGGCCCCATAGACTGCTTGAGCCTCCTAACTGACAACCATGTTAAGGGGGCCTGGTTTCCCAGCTGTCATTCTGGGGACCATGAGCTCCCCCTTGTTCAGGTCAGATGTTTCTGTGGGTTTTCTAAGCCTGCTCTTGACCCCTTTGTTCATCCCTTCTCCCCCTCTACAACTGAATTCTAGGAGATTGGCTCAGTGTTGAGCTGTGGGTCTCTACTTCCACTTCCATCAGCTCCTGGATGAAGGCTCTAGGATGGCATTTACGGTAGCCAATCTCAATATAGGGGAAAGGCATTTAAGGTTGCTTAGATTCTTATTTGGGGTCATTCTTATGGTTATCTGTACAATTCCCTAGTGTCACATTTCTCTTTAAATCTATAATGGCTCTCTCTATTAAGGTATTCTTCCCCTGACTCTGTCTTCCTGTTCCCTCACGTCCTCATCTCCCCTCCCCTTATCGATCTCCTAACTCCCTCTCACCTCGCCCCTCCCCTGCCCCTGTGCTCCCAATTTGCTCAGAAGATCTTGCAATTTTCCCTTCTCCAAGGGACCCTGTATGTTGCTCTTAGGATCATCCTTGTTTCCTAGCTTCTCTGGAGGTGTGGATTGTAGGCTGGTAATCCTTTGCTCAAAATATAATATCCATATATGAGTAAGTATCCATGATTGTCCTCACTTAAGAGAGGTTCTTCTAGCTCCATCCATTTGTCTGTGAATTTCAATATCCCTTAGTTTTTTTCTGCTGAGTAGTACTCCATTGTGTAAATGTACCACATTTTCTCCATCCATTCTTCAGTTGAGGGGCATTTAGGTTGCTTTTGGGTTCTAGCTATTACAAATAATGCTGCTATGAACATAGTTGAACAGATGTCCTTATTGTATATTTGTGCATCCTTTGGTCATATGCCTAAGAGTGGAACTGCTGGATCTTGAGGTAGACTGATACCCATTTTCCTGAGGAATCACCATACTGATTTCCAAAATAGCTGTACAAGTTTGCACTCCCACCAGAAGTGGAGGAGTGTTCCCCTTTCTCCACATCCTATTCAGCATAAACTGGCATTGGTGTTTCTGATTTTAGCCATTCTGACAGGAGTAAGATGGTATTTCTGATTTGTTTTGAGCTGCATTTCCCTGAAGGATGTCATTCAGCCATTTTAGATTCCTCTACTGAGAATTGTCTATTTAGTTCTGCACCCCACTTTTTAATTGGATTATTTGGTGTTTTGAATACTAGCTTCTTGAGTTCTTTGTATATTTTGGAAATCAGCCCTCTGTCAGATGTGGGGTTGGTGAATATCTTTTCCCATTCCTTGGGCTGGCGTTTTGTCTTGTTGACTGTGTCCTTTGCCTTACAGAAGCTTCTCAGTTTCAGGAGGTCCCATTTATTAATTGTCGATCTCAATGTTTGTGCTACTGCTGTTATGTTCAGAAAGCAGTCTCCTGTACCAATTTGTTTGAGGGTTACACCTACCTTCTCTTCTAGGAGGTTCAGTGTGGCTGAATTTATGTTGAGGTCTTTGATCCATTTGGTTTTAAATTTTGTGCATGGTGATAGATATGGATCTATCTTCAATCTTCTACATGTTAGCATTCAGTTATGGCAGCACCATTTGTTGAAGATGCTTTCTTTTTTCCATTATATAATTTTAGCTTCTTTGTAAAAAATCAGGTGTTTGTAGATGTGTGGGTTAATATCCCAGTTTTCAATTCAATTTCATTGGTCTACCTGTCGATTTTTGTGCCAATACCAAGCTGTTTTTAGGACTATAGCTCTATAATAGAGCTGGAAGTCAGGAATGGTGATACCTCTGGAAGTTCCTTTATTGTACAGAGTTGTTTTGGCTATCCTGGGACTTTTGTTTTTTCATAGAAAGTTGAGTATTTTTCTTTAAAGATCTGTGAAGAATTGTACTGGATTTTGATGGGGATTGCATTGAATCTATAGATTTCTTTTGGCAAGATTACTATTTTTAATTGTTGATCCCACCTATCCAAGAGCATCGTAGATCATCCATTTTCTGGTATCTTCTTTAATTTCTTTCTTTAAAAGTCTCAAAGTTCTTGTTATACAGGTCTTTCACTTGCTTGGTTAGAGTAACCCCAAGATATTTTATGTTGTTTGTGGCAATTGTAAAGGATGATGTTTCTCTGATTTCTTTGTCAGTCCATTTACTGTCTGTATATATTAGGGCTACTGATTTTTTAATTAATCTTTACACTGCCAGTTTGCTGGAGGATTTTATCATCTGTAGGAGTTCCCTGATAGAATTTTTCAGGTCACTTATATAAACTTTCATATCCTTATTGATTTTTATCTGTTTGATCGCCTTTTGTTGTCTTTTTGCTCTAGCTAAAACTTGAGCACGTATGGAGAAAGAGGACAACATTGACTTGTTCAGTATTTTTGATAAATTTATTTGGGTTTCTCTCCATTTAATCTGATATTGGCTATAGACTTGTTGTAAAATGCCTTTGTTATGTGTAGGTATGTGCATTGTACCCCTAATCTCTGAAGGATTTCATCATGAAGTCATATTGGATTTTGCCAAAGTTATGATCAGGTGTTACTTTATCCTTTCAGTTTTTTATAGGATGAATTTTATTTCCTGATTTTCATATATTGAACTATCCCTGCATCTCTAGGATGAAGCCTACTTTGTTATGGGGCATGATCATTTTGAAATATTCTTGAATTTGGTTTATAAGTATTTTATAAGGTGTTTCTTCATCTTTGTTCAAACTGTAAATTGATTTTATAGTTCTCTTTCTTGTTTGAGTTTTATTGCATTTGGGCATGAAGATAACTGTGGCCTTATAAAATAACTTTAGCAATGACCCTTCTTTTTCTATTTTGTAGAATAATTAGAGAGTTATTGCCATTAAACACTTCATTGAAAATCTGATAGAATTCTGTTCTAATACCATATAGCCTTGAATGTGTACTGTATTTTCATATATTATATAACCTTGATTCCAAATATTTGTTACACATAAAAATGACAACTTGTTGACAATTTTGTGAAGAAATTCATTTTTCTCTGATCTATTTATTTCTTTTTTCCTTCCAGGAGTTGGAATTTTCAAATTTATTTGCTGTTCTTCACTGTATTCATTCATTTTTTGCTGCCAAAGTAGCTTGTTTAGACCCTCTATTTTTAGGTAATCAGGCTGCTGCTTCTGCTGCTGGCAGCTCTGTTCCTACAAGCAAAGCAAAGCACATGGCTTGACATCTTCAGTTCTGCCTGACAGTCTTCAGGGTCACTCCTCACTTTCATCCTGGAGAGACCATGCTGTCACCAAGTCAACAGTGGAGTAAGACTGCAACTGCAGCACATGAAAGGTCAGGAGGTATCAGCAGCCTATCTTACCCTAGCAGGCATCTACCATTGACCCTCGATGGGCAGAGGAGCCCATTCTTTCTCTTCTGATATTTATCAGGACACAGCTATCACCATGTATGGTGATGAATTATTGGTGTAAAGTGCGTAAATAACACAGAATTGTGAACTACCTATAAATAAAAATACCAATTAAATGGTTATTTCTCTATTTTAGATTATTTTGTATGACAAATGCATAGTAGGTCAGATCACAAACCAATGTTCTATCGTTGTATTATGAGTATAAATAAAGTTTAAAAAATGAAAGCAGGACAGGTAGCATGTAAAAAATATTTAAAAATAAATAAATAACTGAAAGACAGAAGTAACAACTCACTCACATGAGTTACTCCCTAGATTTCCACCCTATGGCTCCACATGAGTACTCCAGTTGTGTTTACCTGATTTTAAATATTCTGCAAAATAAATAAAGGCAATTACATGGTCCTTAAAAAAAAACTAGGTGATTAAAAAAAACTAGGAAACTAGACATTTCTTCTTAGGAGAATGTTACTAAAATATTTTATATTTGAAAATGGTATTAGTCATGAATGGTTAAAATATTCATGACTCTCCTCTTCTTCATTTAAACACATTTTTCTTTTATGTTGCTTAATGAGATTTATGAACAAATTAAACTTTCATAACTTTAAATGACCCAAAGCTTCTGAAGAAAAATGATATCAACAAATTCTGTGTAAGAAACAAGACTATAACACTTTACTATTTAGTAATGAACTGAAAATTTCCAGAAAAATAGCCACAAAGCTTTTGAGAGCTGGTGATATTTTCATTTTAGTATATTTATGAGAAAATTAAGTGATATTTGAAAACAATACTCAAAATACATGTCATAGAATCCATGAGCAGTGATTAAGTAGCTTCAAATGATATAAGCTGCAGTAGCTAGATTGTGTTAGCATTACAAAGGTGAAAATACAGAAATATGCAGTGTAGAGGCATGTACGCACAGGTGAGAATGGGACCTTGCTAGTCATACAAAGCAGGAAACATTTTCTGGTCATTGTCTACAACTGGCTATTAATTGAAAAGTAAAAATACTCCATTTTTGTACATTTCAATTGAACATTGTTTTATCCCTTTTTAAATGACCAAGTTTCTCATAAGCAGTTTATTATTCCTGACTTAAATAGAAGAAAATTCCACATAAGACTTAAGAGAAAAACAAAATTATTTGTTTACAGGAAATTAAAGTAAACAAATAGCAAACTAATTTCATAATCATTAGAAATATTAATTCATTTTGCAAAAGGTTATGTGAAATCTCATTATGAGAGGTGAAAAATGTAAGGTTGGATCTAAGATGCCTTTCCAGAAAAACAAAAAATTTAATAAAAAGGGTTTATATATTTATATATTCTGCTTTTACAAGAAAGTTCAGTATATACTGACAATAATCACACTAGAATTACTGCTTATGTTATCAATTAAACATCAAAGCTATGGTACAATTTGAATATGACCAAAATCTGAGTTCTAACATAAAAGAGAAAGAGTAAAGACTGGCACATCTTACTATCTCTTCTGAAACCTCTGCTAATAACCATGGTGCAAATACATGATGGGTGACCTGGTCTGCAGTGCCTGTCAAATATGATAGTCATCTAATACTAAAATAAATAAGAAATAACCTGGGGTGTAGAACTATAGGGATGTCTTCTGTAATCCTTAAAATAATTTTATGGGCTGGAGAATTAACTTAGTGGTTAAGAGTTAGTAATGCTTTTGTAGAGGACCTTGTTTGGTTTCAACACCCACACAGTGACTCACAAACACTGTAACTACAATACCAGGAGTTATGACATCCTCTTCTGAATTCAGGAACATTAGGCATGCATATGGTGCATATAAGTACATGCAGTGAAACACCACATAAAATAAAAGTAGATTTTACAAATATCCATTTAAACATACAAAACAAATTATGTCATTTTTGTTGTTGTTATACCAAATGTGCTACCAGTGCTCACCTTGTGAAAACAGCAAAAGTATAAGAGGAGATCTCTGTGTATAGCTCTTGTATGCTATGTGTACTTAGACACCCTATGTGTACTTATGATGTAAACATATGTATAGACAAGTATAAAATATTGAGCTTAATTATACTGAAAGAAAAGTTTCACATACATACATAGCATGATTTGAATTCAGCTGTAAAGTGTAACTTGAAATCTAATAGAGAAAAAACCTTAGTCTCATTACTTTTTATAATATTGGTTAAAATAACACCATGCTTAAATTGATGTTTAACACTATTAGTGACACAAGCAACAATACTGTTCTGATTTTCATCAGTTTAAGAGTTAGTGTTTAGTGCTTTCTTTATAGTGTTATTAAGTACTATTATTGGGACTTGAGCTACTTGAATGAGAAAGTTTAGAGATTAAATAGAGATTTCAATTTCTCAGTAACTTAGGTTCACATATAGTAAATTTGTTTAAAACTCCTAAGTTTGAGTATTAAGCACATGAGAATGCTTGCTGATGTGTTCACCCCTCCAGTGCCTTGGTGGATGTGTATGCACATACATGCGTATGGGGAAAAATTAAAGGGCTTATTACAGTGTACACAGTCTAAGGTTAAAGGGAAACGCAGTTATGTGAGTTGGAGACAGGAGTTTAAAACCACTTGAAAACTGCTAAGATGAGAATGTCTTTTATGTCATAAAAACAAGTCATGTGAACTGAAATAGGTCAAAGCAGAGGCATTTGAATTTGTTATAGTGCAACTTCAAAAACAATTTAACAGATGATTTAAATATAACAAATACCTCGATGCTTCCCATCCACTCTTACTTTTTTTTGAGGGTGAAAGCATTTATTATTGATGACTGAAGGATATTTGTTAGTATCATGCTTATTAACCAAAATTTAACCACTCTTACTTTTAAAGAGCAGAATGAGCTAATAATTTCTCACCCCTATTTCTGGCATGAAATGACTAGTTTTAAAGCCTTTGCTTATAAAACTCATTCATCAAAAAGAAAGGCAATTAATGCCTAGTCTATATTGGCAAAGAGAGAAATCACTTACATATAGATACTATGCTCTTCCTCTGGACACATCAGCTGATGATTCTACATTTCCATCATTTACGGTTACACAGATTGCTCATAGTAGAGTCAATGTCAAATGCTGGGCTTAAGTGAATCTTGATTTATCATTGAGGAAAAGTAATTCTTAGAAATCATTTCAGTTCACTGTTTCAAACCAGAAGTGTGGAGAAGCTTTACCAGGTCAAGGACAAACTTATGCTTAGCTCTGTAAGGTAAGTGTGCTCCAACTTAATGATAAATATTTTGCTCCTGTTGATATCAGTGTGCTCATGAGCTTAAGGAGTCTCTCAATCCATATCTCTAGAACTGCTGTTTGTATTTTGTTCTGACACTTTAACACTCTAAAACCATGCCATTTTATATTATAGCTTACCTTTAATTATTAATAAAATATTATAAATTTATATATTATGTACATATTATAATGTAGTGAATAGAACGGTAAAATGCAAATATATTTATTTCCTTTTTAAATGTTGGGTAGATGTTTCTAAAATGTAAATTCAGATCAGTGACAACTTGCCATTCTGCCTTTGATTTCATCAATGAGTCATTCAGAAAAAAATTAAACACACAAAAAAATCCCTTTTTAATGAAGCATGCTATAAAATAAAAATGGAACCTTTTACTACTTTCAATTTTGTATTTCTTTGTCTAGTTTGGATCTGTAAGTTCCATACAAATTTAAACTAAAATTCTGACAGAATCAATTGAATATAAAAGGCAATATCTGATGCCCCTAACAGGAATAAAAACTAGAAACACACTCTTTTCTGGCTTATTAATATCCATGAACAGTTGGTGTCTGAGCTCTGAAAGACAGCAGAGACCTAAGGAAGATGGTATTTGCCAAATTACTGAACCAACAAGGAATTACAACTTTTGAAAGCACTACAACTTTGTTATCTAAATAATGGTCCATTAGGGACAGAATCTATATTGAAAAGCTAGGTCAAGGACATCATTTTCTTGTCACCATAATTGAGGCGCAATTATTGTGGTAATGTGTGCCTTCTGTCAAGACCACAATTGTTATTCATGTGAGCACATTATATTAAAAGTATGCTCACAATAATCTCTTCAAAACAGCTCCAATATTCATATTGTCCTTGTTACTAAATGAATTCTACCATTTTTCCAAATTGTTGCTGTTGCTTCTTCTTTTTCAGTTTGAAAAACAGAAAGAAAATTGGTATTCCTATTTAAAAAATAGTAAATAACCCATTATATATAATTCCAACACCTAAAGTGAATACAAAGAAAAAAAAAAACAGTAAGCCTTAACACAACTAAAGTAAACAGAAGCCATCTTAGATGAATGTTGCTTCATCAATCAAAGTCCACACAGACACAAATGAAGTATTTTAAATTAATATACAAGCATGCATACCAAGTGTCTTTATAAAAACAATTAGATAGGTTTAGTAATTCAGCAGTGCAGTGCTGATCTAGCATGAATAATATTATTGGTTCTCTCTCTAGTGCAGTAAACAATAATTATAATTAATATAATAACAAAATACTCCAGTATAGCAAGATAAAACAATTTTTAGAAGAAATATATAAAAATTAGCATAATTTATACTTTTTTCTTTCAAAGAGTTTTATCAATCCTTTGAGAATTTCTTATGCCATATTTTTATCATGTTCAGTTCCTCATTTCAACTCCTCCATGATCCACTCCTGTTTCTCTACAAATGATAATTTGGGGCAGGGAGAGGGACAATCTTTTGGACCATGGTAGACCTACAACGATTCTACCCTTAAAGAA